CTAAAATCCCACTTGAAGCTCTCTACTTGTTCCTCCCTGATCAAGACACCAGCAAGTATAATGCTCTGAAAATGGTTGTTAACCCCAACAAAAAGACCAAAGGTTTTTCATGTAGGTTGTGTTGAATGTAACCACATCACTAAAATACCTGTACTGCATTCGACTGCTTCCGTTAGTCCACATGAGGTTTTTGACCTTACTTGTTTTCTCTGCCAAAACTTTATATGTCAAACCAGGGTCATCATTGACAATGTCTGCAAACACCTCCAAAGTCTTCCTAACATCGTCTTCTGCCTGCTCACGGCTGATCTTCCCACACATGTTCCTTAGAGTCCTCTTCGTGAATGGCACCTTCTCGATCGACCCAAAAAAAACTGCCAATGATGTTTTTTTTTTGACAGAAAGACTGTAAGGGAACCCCATACAGTATAATTGGTGCAACAAACTCAAATTACAAGTACCATGCCTTGAACCTGGGTGGGTGGGAAGGCATCAACCCCTTCCCACCACTAGGCCATGCCTTAGTCTGCTACAAACTTCCAATGATGTTGTACACCTTTCCAAGATTCACATTATTCTCCCTTAGCTGCTTTATCAAATCTTTAGTGTACACATCAATGTGCTTGTGAGACGGCCCGTGCACTTTTTCACCAATCGTCAACGACATAGAGTGGTTGTGGCTTTTTCACGGTGCTCTGTGATGTATCAACTGTTGTCTGCTGCGAGCAACAACCTAATCAAGGCCGGACACTGACATCTGCAGGACCGTTCTCTGTTTCCGGTTTGCCCTGCATGTTTTTCATCACGACAAATCGGTCAAACACTTCCCTACGCGCCATAGAATACATTTCGGAAATGAAAACTCACCGAGCACCCGCACACAATCTGTTGCATGCACTTTGTCCTCTCCGCGTTCAATCTGCTTTTACCATATCTAATAGCAAAGCCTATCTCCCACGAATACAGATTGTAGAAGTCGCATGCCTCACCTAACGAATCAAAATTCAGCCCGAGTTCGGGCGTTATCACACTCTTCGACGACTCTTCCGCATACTTGCAAATCGACTGCTCCATAGCAATAATTCAGGAAGGGCATGGTGTCCTGTCTGGTGGCGCACTACCCAGACGTAATCTGCGATCATGGAAACCAAAATTCAATTTTTCTTTCCTAACATTTTTTTCATTGTACGGAACAAGGCTAGCAACATGGTGCCTGTGGTTATTCCTGGGGGTTAATATGGGTGCGGTAACGAAGTGGTCCAATTTGTTCAGATTAACTGTCCAGTTTTTAACTGCTAAGTTTTAACTGAATACTGTATAAGCAACGCACAAATAATGTTCAGTCAGGACAGGAGACATAAAAGATGTAATCCTACAACTCCACGTATTTCATTTTGTACCCTTTTGTCCACCCACGGGCCTGCAGATTGACTCTGTCAGTCGATACGCAGACCTTGTCGGCGATGAATCAGGTCGTTGCCGGACTCCAGCTCGTGTACTATTGTTATCCTCGACGCCGATTTGCTGACCACAACCATAGCCAAAGTCTGATTCCGCAGGGAGGGCAACTCCTGGTCCGCTGTTTACCAACAAGGACATAGGGACCGGATCTGGCTGCTCATGACTATCGGCGAACTCCTCATGTAGGGGGAACATGAGAATCCAACTGCAACGGCGGCGGCCATGGCGCGTCAGTGAAACACACTGAAAATTGCTAAAAAACTTTGCAGATCTGAAGTCTCTAACCTGTCAACGGCATCGAGGAGGAACTCCATGCCAACATCATCCATTCAAATGGGCACCAGCGCAAATCAGGGTTCGGCAAAGGTTTCCAGAATGAACAACGACGTGCTAGATGGACCGGGGGATTTGGATGGGGCCGGGTGGCCGCCTACAGCCAATGCGCGCATGTGTATCACATAGACGTGTCTGACAGACAGCTCAGCTTTTACCCCGACGTCCTGTTCCCCTGATCTGATCCTAGGCACGGTAAAAACACTAACACTCTGGTCGACGGACCAGCTATCTCACGCGTCTCCGTCGTCCCACCGCTATGTCCTGGGTCCCATGTGCAATGCACTGTTCCGTCCCGTATTTCACCTCCCGCCTGATTTCCACAATTCAGCGTCAGATGCGTCAGGCCTCTTTTCTCGTATCCCGAGCGTGGAACGGAAGGAGAGGATATCGGGACTAGCTGGGCTCGGGCACCAAATCGCCTTGTCCACCATTTCTTACAAATCAGGGTACATAACAGGAGAGAAGGGGAGGGAGAGGGGTGAAAAGAAAACAAAATAGGAGTGCAGAATAGGAGAACAAAGGGCAAAGGAAAAGGTGACTACTTTGGCCAGCCCGCAATCCATTCTTGGATAGACATAAGTTCCTCTTTTTTAGCCCTGTTTGACCAGAGTTTAACCATGGCGTGCATTGTTTCGCAACTAGCCCGGGGCGGGGGTAGTTATGACATCGAAGACCCTTCGATCCCTTGCTAGCAAGATAGATCATATTAAAGTGATTGCAATCAGCTCCCAAGATTTTCGTTTGTCTTCAGAGTACAGAGATGAACTTTCCTCCGTCAGTAAAAATGTCCGCCGGTTGATCCACATCACTCATTCTGACGCCGAGGAGTTCCCAAATATGTTTCCTTCTGCTGCATTCCAGAACCAGGTGAGACAGTTTCATGGTTGCTGCAGCCAAATGGGCAGTTGTCATTGTCGACGATTCCTTGGTTTTTCAGAATCACCCTAACTTCAATCCTGTGTTTGACAAGTAACCAAGCAAAGACTTTGCATTTTTTGGGTGCTGAACAGTTCCAAATGCTACTGTTCATGAGCTCGTAGCATTTTCCAACAGAGAATGGTACTGAGTGATTCATATGAAGGGCTCGGTTGTCCAGAGACCCCTCTTGGAGACAACAGAGTTGAGGAAGAGTGCAAGTGAATGGAGCTCGTTGTCCGCCCGATCAGACGTGATATGTCGAGTGTGAATTATCCATTCTCCGCCTCTCCTACAGTCCGCAACAGAAATGTTAGGCCTGAGCGCATGAAAGTAGATGGCAGGGAATTGGATATAAAAGGGGCCGTTAGTAGGCCATTTGTCTTTCCAGAATGAGGTTGCCTCCCCATCTCCGATTTGCACACAAGTCACCTCTCTCTAACCCCTTAAATGAGTGCTGATTTGTGACCATGCTCTTGTATTAAGAGGGAGGCGATCATCTACATCCCTGTTATTGAAATGAATTATTCTGACCCATCTTGCCCACGGAATGTTTGGCGCTGTAAGGAGGCGGTGAACAAATTTCATCAGAAGACAATCATTTTGAGTACTTAATTTTTTAATTCCAAGTCGTCCTTGAATTGATCGACAAACTTGGTCCGAAGTGGCCAAGCAATCAGCTCCTTTAGTCTTCTCTTTTCCTTTCCAAAGAAACAATATCCTTAATCTGTCAATCTCATTAACTACCCATTGAGGCAATTTGATGCATGACATAAGATAAGCAGGGACAGCTGACAGAACTGATTTTGTAAGCGTTAGGCGACTTCCCTTTTTTTTGTTGATTATACTTCACCTAGATTTGTGCGGCCATTCTCTCTTAATCCCCTTGATTTTTTGGAGATTACTTTGCAGTGCTTATTTGCTTTGTTGGTCTTGTAAAAAATGTTATGTGCTTTTCACGTAAGCACTTGTTTATTCATAAAAATGATAACAGTCAAGACTGCCAGCTGAAAGAAGTGAGCCAGTTGATATCTCCTATGTTTCCTTGATGCTGACATAACTGACTGATGAATTGGTGTTGTACATATTTAGCATTGCACTATGTAGTATTTTCTCACTTGGTTTTGTAATACAACTGAACATGTTGCCCGTCAGGACTTTCTGTAGTATAAGAAAACATTTAGGCCTTGTTTGGTTAAACCTCTCCTGGAGGGGATTAAGTGAGATTTTGACTTGTATGGGATTTAATCCACCCCAATCCACTTCAATCCCCTTCAATTTTGTTGCAACCGAACAAGCCCTTAGGGTGCAGAAACTCCTGTTACTTGTGACAAACTGGATTTGCCTCCAAACTAATACCTTGGGATAGCAATGTTTAATTTTGGTTTCTTATTCCCTCGAGCAACAAAGCTAGTGCATGTTGTATTGTTATCCAATTCTTACATGGGATTTGGTTGGTATTGGTAATGCAGCAACAGGAAGCAGCAATGATGGAGCCACCGTCAGAAAATGCCATGCCCATTGTGATGGTTGACACTGAGGCACAACCTTCTGAGACTGTGTTAGCCGTTGAGCAAACAGGGGAAGTGATCCCCATGATCATGGACCCACCTGCTCCCACAGCTGGGCCGCCACATCCGGCATCTACAGGAACTGGTCGCACAAGGCGTCCCTGCTATGGATGGATCTCTGAATCTGAGAGTGACTCGGACTACGAAGAATATCTTGCACGTCGACAGAAGCAGGTGCATGTCCCGGCCAAGTAGATGGGTGCGAGTGAAGCCACTTAACAGGTGCTGCTTCTGTCATCCGATCTTTCTTTGCTATCTTCTAAGTCGGTACTGTTAGTAGCCAAATTTCTATGCATAAGTTCATAGAACTGTTATTGTTCTCATGCTTTTGATCAAATGAAAACACTCTAGGATTTACGCTTCGTTGAATAAGAACACAAAGTACCATTCAGATTGAATGGTGAAATCAAAACTTGTATGCCATTCACATGAGTTTGAAGTTATGTTCTGGAAAACTCCTCTGTTGGAAATGCTAACCATCGTTCTCTTGCTGTGGCAGAGAGGGGGCTGATCCACGGCGAAAGGAAGCAGGAGAACCGGACTAATTTGCAGTATTAATATATTGCTAGTACTATATTGTTAGCATGACGAACTGAATTTAAATGACACCGTGGCTCTAGTATACAAGTAAACCATGGGCTCTGGAGCAGACACTCTGGATGGCAGGGGCAGGTGTCGCTCCCATGAAGTACGTAAGAACAACATATATGGGTGCTTCTGACTATATTTAGGTACTAATGTGCTAGCGTGGCTTCGCCGTTGACGTTTGTATAAATCGCGACCTTCTTGGCTTGGCCTTGCTGAATATGTCTGAATCAGTGTGGACTATGGTTTATCTATGCTTGAAACCGCTAGCTATAATTTTCTATGAGACGATGTGGCTCAATGTTTCAATGCTTGCCGCAGGTTTTCTAAACGAAGATTTTGGCCTATGTTATAAGGAAATTGGGACGCACTGGAAATTGTCCTTCAGCCTTTTTCGAAGTAAGGAAGAACTGCGAAAGGCTAGGGTTAAATTAATCCAGCGTGGCGTTTAACTGAAAAATCCCTAGAACCATTAAAAAAGAGCAGCTGGTATGAGATGCAATATATGAAAACGTTTGGCACAATGCTAGACAAAAAAAGCATAGATAATTACTGACATATTATTACTGAATAACATGATGCTTATGTTTAGGCAGGGAATTAGGTATATGCAAAAAAATAATTGTGCCAAGAGGTAGCATTTCCATGACTTGTCAACGTAAAGAGGCTATGTGCAATGGGGATCCGGTGTTGTGATTAAAAGCCTGATCTATATAGTATAACGCAGAAGTTCAGAAATAACACAAGAACATCTGCAGTATGATTGTATAATTTGCATGTTCATATCTAGCAAGTTGATATACCAACAAATAAAGTTAAAACAGTGATCAATATATAGGTTAAAAATATTATGCAAATGTCTGCAGTTTCATAGTTCCTTAATTTGAGCAGATAACATAAATAAGTCATAACATGTTTATTTCCTTTCTTTGCCTGGCCTGGTATATAAGATATTCATCAGCTCCTATCATATTTCCTTGATATACTTCCATGCTAATAAATAACATGATGGCAGACTATTAGGCTCTATGTGCATATCCAGGCTCAAAAGTACCGGATTTTTTTTGGAACAAAATTATTAAAGGTAAAAGACAGATAGCATGATAGCTTATGTTTTATAAAACTAAGAGCATCTCTAGCAGACCCCGCATAACGCCGACCTGCAAAACACGTTTGCAGTTCGCGGAAAAACGGCTTTGCGGGCCGGCGCAGACGGCCGCAGAGGCAGACCCCGCAAAACAGACCAGTATAAAAGGATATTCGCGGAATATGCTTTTTTACGGGTCAGCTTTGCGGGGTCTGGTCTGGTGCCGCTCCCGCCGGCCCGCAAATCCTAAATTTACACCTCAATTTGACACAAGATAATGCATTTCTTTGTTTTTTCAGCAACATTGCATACATAGGACATCACCAAATCTTTGCTAGAATAGCAAGATCAAAGAAAACAAGAACCACAATTATGCATTTTAGAGGATTTCCGACTTCCATAACTACTCCCACTAGTTGGGCCAATATCTTCTCCATGCATTCATTGTCGATCTGCGGATTCTTGATTTTGCATTCTTCATTCTTCTTCTTTGGTTCTAAAGAAGTAGACGTTGCTTTGCCTGTGGTTGCACATGCAGCCGCTTCATTGCCTTCGATTCTACAAAGGAGTGCACAGAACGTTTATTAAGTTTCTTTCTATCAATAAATCAATGTATTCGTCTTCCCAAAACCAAACTGAGCATCCATCTTCCTACACACATGATGGTGTTCGAAATGAGCTATCGCAATTTAACCAAAGAATGCGGTGCCAAAGCCGAATGAAACAACACGTACCCCGTTGTTTTCGCATTTGAAGAACACCCATCCGGGGTGCTTCGGCGTGCCCGAAGTTAGCCGCAGAACTGTCCGCGTGCAGTCGTCGCACTGTATGAGCGGCATCGGTGAGCCACAGAGCCTCTACACGAGCGCCGAGCCTGGCGGATGACCGGCCGAATCCATGCCGGCAAACCGTCAGCAACGGTGACAGGACGGACCCGTACCTGCATGCGGCGATGGGACTTTGCCGGGGCTGCGCGAGGTGCTCCCCGGCCATTCCATCGTTTGGCGCAGCCACCGGCGGCCGGAATAGCCAAATTCGGGCGCCCGTGACGGAGGGCCACATATCTGCAACTTTCCGGCCCGTCGACGCATGAGGGGGGTGATGTCTACTACACAACCTTCTTCTTGTAGACGTTGTTGGGCCTCCAAGTGCAGAGGTTTGTAGGACAATAGCAAATTTCTTTCAAGTGGATGACCTAAGGTTTATCAATCCGTACGAGGCGTAGGATGAAGATGGTCTCTCTCAAGCAACCCTGCAACCAAATAACAAAGAGTCTCTTGTGTCCCCAACACACCCAATATAATGGTAAATTGTATAGGTGCACTAGTTCAGCGAAGAGATGGTGATACAAGTGGTATATAGATGGCAGATAAAGGTATTTGTAATCTAAATATATAAAAACAATGAGGTAACTAATGGTAAAAGTGAGCGTAAATGGTATTGCAATGCTAGGAAATAAGGCCTAGCGTTCATACTTTCGCTAGTGCAATTTCCCTCAACAATACTAACATGATTGGATCACATAACTATCCCTCAACATGCAACAAAGAGTCACTCCAAAGTCACTAATAGCGGAGAACGAACGAAGAGATTATGGTAGGGTACGAAACCACCTCAAAGTTATTCTTTCCAATCAATCCGTTGGGCTATTCCTATAAGTGTCACAAACAGCCCTAGAGTTCGTACTAGAATAACACCTTAAGATACAAATCAACCAAAACCCTAATGTCACCTAGATACTCCAATGTCACCTCAAGTATCCGTGGGCATGATTATACGATATGCATCACACAATCTCAGATTCATCTATTCAACCAACATATAGAACCTCAAAGAGTGCCCCAAAGTTCTACCGGAGAATCACGACGAAAACGTGTGCCAATCCCTATGCATAGGTTCATGGGCGGAACCCGCAAGTTGATCACCAAAACATACATCAAGTGAATCACGTGGTATCCCATTGTCACCACAGATACGCACGGCAAGACATACATCAAGTGTTCTCAAATCTTTAAAGACTCAATCCGATAAGATAACTTCAAAGGGGAAAACTCAATTCATTACAAGAGAGTAGAGGGGGGAAGAAACATCATAGGATCCAAATATAATAGCAAAGCTCGCGATACATCAAGATCGTATCACCTCAAGAACACGAGAGAGAGAGAGAGAGAGAGAGAGATCAAACACATAGCTACTGGTACATACCCTCAGCCCCGAGGGAGAACTACTCCCTCCTCGTCATGGAGAGCACCGGGATGATGAAGATGGCCACCGGAGAGGGATTCCCCCTCCGGCAGGCTACCGGAACGGGTCTAGATTGTTTTTTGGTGGCTACGGAGGCTTCTGGCGGCGGAACTCCCGATCTATTGTGCTCTCGGATGTTTTTAGGGTATATGGAGATATATAGGCGGAAGAAGTACGTCAGGGGGGCCTCGTGGCCTCCTCGTAGAGCCCCCGACGTGCACTCCAAGTCTTCTGGGCTTCTTTCCTTCCAAAAATGAGTTTCATGAAGTTTCAGGTCAATTGGACTCTGTTTGATTTTCCTTTTCTTCAAAACCCTAAACAGGGTAAAACAGAAACTAGCACTGGGCTCTGGGTTAATAGGTTAGTCCCAAAAAATGATATAAAAGTGTATAATAAAGCCCATAAACATTCAAAACAGTAGATAATATAGCATGGAGCAATAAAAAATTATAGATACGTTGGAGACGTATCAGCATCCCCAAGCTTAATTCCTGCTCGTCCTCGAGTAGGTAAATGATAAAAACAGAATTTTTGATGCGGAGTGCTACTTGGCATAATTTCAATGTGATTCTTCTTAATTGTGGTATGAATATTCAGATCCATAAGATTCAAGACAAAAGTTCATATCGACATAAAAATAATAATACTTCAAGCATACCAACTAAGCAATTATGTCTTCTCAAAATAACATGGCCAAAGAAAGCTATCCCTACAAAATCATATAGTCTGGTTATGCTCTATCTTCACCACACAAAATATTTAAATCATGCACAACCCCGATGACAAGCCAAGCAATTGTTTCATACTTTTGATGTTCTCAAACTTTTTCAATCTTCACGCAATACATGAGCGTGAGCCATGGACATAGCACTATAGGTGGAATAGAATGGCGGTTATGGAGAAGACAAAAAGGAGAAGATAGTCTCACATCAACTAGGCGTATCAACGGGCTATGGAGATGCCCATCAATAGATATCAATGTGAGTGAGTAGGGATTGCCATGCAACGGATGCATTAGAGCTATAAGTGTATGAAAGCTCGACAAAAGAAAGTAGTGGGTGTGCATCCAACTTGGTTGCTCACGAAGACCTAAGGCATTTTGAGGAAGCCTATCATTGAAATATACAAGCCAAGTTCTATAATGTAAAATTCCCACTAGTATATGAAAGTGACAACATAGAAGACTCTCTATCATGAAGATCATGGTGCTACTTTGAAGCACAAGTGTGGTAAAATGATAGTAGCATTGCCCCTTCTCTTTGTCTCATTTTTTATTTTT